TCGTCGTCGTCGTCGTCGTCTCTCCACCCGTACCCTACCCCTACCCCTATCCCTCCTCCTCCTCCTCCTCCTCCTCCTTCCCCCCCCCCCCCTCCTTCTCCTTCTCTCATTGTATCTGTCATACCTTCCATCCCCCATGATCCTGGAAAGATGCAAACCTAAAGGAGAGCAGGAGGTGAGAGGCGCGAGGAGGGAGTGGAGGGTCGACCGTTTGTCGAGCTCGCGGAAGTGAATCAAGATACTCTCTGCGTCGTTCTCGCTGTTGTGCTTCGATACCACCTGGGAGATCTGACCTGACAGCTGGAGGAGACGTTTCAGATGTACGACAGCATTAGAGGAGATGAAAGGAGTGAGGAGAAGGAGAAGGAAGGGGTGCAGGAGCAGAAGCGAAGGCAGGCGGACGAGGAGAAGGAGAAGGGAGGGGAGTAGGGGTAGGTAGGATGGAATGGGGACGGGGAGTAGTGGGACGATGCTTGTGAGGAGGGGAACAAGGACGGACAGTGATATGGGTACACGGAAGCGAAGCGAGGGGAGGGGAGGGGAGGGACGAAGCGCAACAGGGAGAACGGGCGAGAGCAGGGCAGCAGGGGGAGCTTGTGGAGCTGACCTTGCCGAAGATGGAGGCAGGTTCTTCTGGGATGTTCTTCACAAGTTCTCTCGCTCTCGCAAGCACATCAGCCATGGCGACTTGTCGAGCGAGCGGCCAACAACGTGGGCAATGTCCGTGTTACGGAAACAAGGCCATGCAACGCCTGGGGGAATGGAAACGTCAGGGTCGTTTGCGAGGATGGCAGAGCGGGGGTAGAGGAGATGCTTTCATTCTATCTGCGCTTGCACTGGATGCCTGTCTTTCAGAATGGAGCTTTTGATGTTACCTCCCTCTCATCGATCGAAGAATCACAGACGTGACTCTTCTGTTCTCCATATCCTTCACATAGCTCAATCCTTCCCATCTCATCTCCTGTTGCAACCTCCTCCCGCTCTGCTCCTGATCACATTTACCCAACATGTCATCTTTCCCACTTACCAGTTCTCACCCACATCACTGGGCTTCCCGACCCACTCGCCCCTCATCTAAACCTCATCCCCCCCCAACATCTCTCTTCCTCCTCCCCGCCTGTTCCTGTTCCTGCTCCTCCTGCTCCTGCTCCTGCTCCTGCTCCTGCTCCTGCTCCTGCTCCTGCTCCTGCTCCTGCTCCTGCTCCTGCTCCTGCTCCTGCTCCTGCTCCTGCTCCTGCTCCTGCTCCTGCAACCTCCCCCGATGTTTTGTCTCCTAAAAAGCATCGCGCGTCACCAACTCATATCCCTCATCCCCGCTCATTTATAACGGTCACATAACGCCTCAAAACGGTTTCTGTAACGTAGGATACTGCGCTGGCAATGCAGTGTTGACATAGGGATTGTGCGAAGAGCGGAGGAGGAGAAGGACACGATGACGATGATGATGATGGAGATGAGGAGAAGACCAGGGATAAGGAAGAGGAGGAGGAGGAGGAGGAGGAGGAGGAGCAGCAGCAGCAGCAGCAGGAGCAGGTGGAGCAGGAGGAGAAGGAGAAGGAGAAGGAAGAGAGGGAGGTAAGAGAGGAGTAGTAGTAGGAGGAGGAGGATAAGGAGGAGCAGGAGGAGAAGGAATATTGAAGGGTGCGTAGGATCACTTAAGTGGGAGGGATAGTGAAGGAACAGTAGAGAATACCCGTATGAGTCACTTTGTTGTAACGTGAGAGGCAAACGTGCGTCCAGGGGGTGGATGAAGTAGAAATCGAGAAGGATGAGAAAAAAGGAAACGATGATGGCGCTGATGATGAGGACGAGATTGAATGGTAGGATGCCGGTGATTAACGAGATTCAGCCCTGGTTGGTACAAGGATGGAACAAGGATCCTTTTACCAGAAACTTTCAAAACTTTCCAGATGCATGAATGTAGTGGCCTCATTGAAGTTGCAGAGGGTGCAGAGAGCTATGTCAAGAGATGTCATGTTCAAGAAGAAGGGGAGACATGGGAAGGACGAAGGGAGGGAGAGGAGAAAGCGAGCGGGAGGATGGAGAATGAAGAGGCCCTGATGATTCTCTCAGATGCCTTCACGTTGAAGCCCTCCTCTCTACAGATGATTGCAGCACCTGTTCCTTCCAGTGCGGCCAACCTTGAGGAGATCAGATGGAGCCTGTGGAGCTGATGGCCGCATGCTAGGCTGATCGCAAGGAGGGAACAAACAAGGGCGCGACAGGAGCGATCGCAGGGCTAGAGATGTCTGCGACAGGGACAAGAGACATGGCGATCGCCAACTCAGTGGTGGACCTGATCACGTTGAGAGATCAGTCCAGGAAGGAGCTGACAGAGTGTATCAACAAGATGAAGGGGCCGAAGGCGCTGGTGCTGGACCCTTCGCTCAGCGGCCCTCTGGGCCTCATTGCGGAGAAGCAGCTGCTGAAAGAGCATGGGGTAGAGAAGACCTACCACCTTCGGAGCGAGCCCTTTGAGACCGATCAGCGACGCGTCATGTTCCTGGTGCGAGACAAGATCTGGAACATGAAGGCGATAGCGAAGCAGGTGAAGTTCAACCAGAGCAACAGGCAGAAGCTAGAGTACTGCGTCATCGTCGTCCCTCGTAGGACCATTGTCTGCGAGCGGGTGCTGGAGGAGGAGGGAATATACAACGACGTGCAGCTGGGAGAGTTCGACCTCGGACTCATCCCCTGCGAGGACGACGTCATCTCTATGGAATACCCCGACGCTCTTCGAGAGGTTAGATGCCTGTTGCTTCGTGTTCGTGTTCTTGTTCTTGTTCTTGTTCTTGTTCTTGTTCTTGTTCTTGTTCTTGTTCTTGTTCTTGTTCTTGTTCTTGTTCTTGTTCTTCTTTTCTCCTCCTCCTCCTCCTCCTCCTCGTATTTCTTCTTTGCCTTCGTCGTCTTCCATCCACATCAAGCGTCAAACTAATCTTGCCTGCTCGTCCCCCCTCCTCTCACTCGCTTTCTCGTCTTTTGAGTTGTTGTCCATCCAGTGCCTCTGCGACGGCGACTTCTCTTCCCTATTCTACGCTGCTCGCTGCATCCGCAAGCTCGAGAGTAGGTTCGGCATAATCCCCACCATCAAGGGGAAGGGAGCGAGCGCGAAGAAAGTCGCCGACATCATCGTGCGCATGCGGCGGGAGCTGCCGGAGGAGAGCTGTGGGGAAGGGGAGGAGCAGGAGATCGACGAGCTGATCCTCGTGGATAGAGAGAGCGATCTCGTTACCCCCATGCTCACTCAGCTCACGTATGAAGGCCTCATTGATGATATCTACGGCATCAGCAACGGCATCGTCGAGCTACCCTCTGAGCTGATCAGCAGCGCTCCCCAGGTTAGGAGGAGGAGGAGGAGGGGGAGGGCGGAAGTCCAAGAATGTGTGAGTTAGTCGGATGATGAAGGTGGTGACAGGTGGGGGACAAGAAAGCGAGAGTCAAGGTTCAATTCAACTCCAGCGACCAGCTCTTTGCTCTGCTCAGGGACGCAAATTTCGAGCAAGTTGGCTCGATCGTGAAGAAGAGAGCGACGTTTTTGAAGGTGGGCAGATGTTTTTGCTCGCCTCTTTGAAAGTTTGTACACGCCTGTGATGCTTTCTTCTTGTGCTTGTCTGCTTCTCCATGACCTCAATTCTGCACTCTCTGAACTTTCATTTTCGAATTCTCTTCCTCGTCCTCTTCCTCGTCCTCGTCCTCGTCCTCGTCCTCGTCCTCGTCCTCGTCCTCGTCCTCGTCCTCGTCCTTGTCCCCCTTCTTTCTCCCTCTTCCTCGTCCCCCTCCTTCTGCTTCTCCAGGCAGTGCAAGACGAGAAAGACTCGCTGCAAGGCAAGAGTGTCACAGAGATCAAAGAATACGTCAGAAAGCTCAAGGTTGAGATGTTGGAATCTCTCTGTTGTCTCTGCTCTCACGGTCACTCACATCTTTTGTCATGAAGGAAATCAATATCCAACAAGAGAAGAACTTGTTGAGTTTGCACACGAGCATTGCGCTAGAGATAAAATCGCTCGTGACGAGTTGCTTGTTCTCGGTAAACTCCTTCCCCCTCGTGTTGTCTTGTAACATTCCGATCAGAGAAGGTTGGAAATGGAGCAAGGGATTCTTCAAGGAAGAATCGGTAAGCAGCTCCCCTCTTGCTACCTCGCTCCTTTCCCCGGCTCCTCCTCTCAGTCCCCTCTCTCCCTCTCTCTCTCTACACTCCCACTCCTTCTCCTTCCCCCCCCCG